TGCCTCATTCAAGGGCATTCACACTTTTAATGGTACCCTATGAAAGGTCCTAGCTCCATCAGTCAAGAACTCCTGCACCTAGATGCCCATCCCAGTCCTGAGTACTGGGCTTGCTCTCCTTCCCTCCCCACTTACCACCTCCTGCCATCACCTGGGCTTTCTCCTCTGTTGTAAAGCCCCTCCAGAGCCCTACATTTTTGCCAGGCTAACTTTGCATCTTCACACTCAGCTGGGATATTCTTTTATAACAGTCCCCTGGGGGTGGGGACATCTGTCTTTAGACACTGCTATTCTGATTCCAGATGCTTCCTGGAGTGTCCCCTAGGGACACCCTCTCACAAAAGAAGGAGAAGGAGAAGGAGGAAGAGGAGGAAGACATAGAGTAGGAGGGGGGAGGGAGAGGAGGGGGAAGGGAAGGGACCTGAGTCCCTGACACATCCTGACACATCCCAGGGAGGGGGAAGAGAAGAAGGAAAAGGAGGAGGAGAAGGAGGAGGAGGAGGAGGAGAAGGAGGAGGAGGAGGAGGAGGAGGAGGAGGAGGAGGAGGAGGAGGAGGAGAAGAAGAAGAAGAAGAAGAAGAAGAAGAAGAAGAAGAAGAAGAAGAAGAAGAAGAAGAAGAAGAAGAAGAAGAAGATGACTTCAAGATCATTTCAGGAATTGGAAATTTTAGTAGGAAATCTCCTCTTCTATTAGCTTCCTAACAGAAAATAAAGAAATGTCAGTGCATGATATTTTAAAGGTATCCTGTAATATTAGCTGAAGCCTGAATGCCATGTTTGTCTCCTCAGCCAATGCACATGTAATCAGGGCAGAGAAAGGCCATGGAACTTATAAGAGAGTGGGAACTCTAAAACCCTCTGAGGACTCAATAAAGGAGCCTCCTTGATGAGAAGGATGGTGATTTGATCATGTCACTGATGGTAGGGACAGGGTAAAGAAGGGAGACAGGGAAAGAAGCTTTGCAAATGTTTGTGCAATAAGGAGCAGCACGTCCCGGTCAGGGTGAACTGGAGCAACTGCCAAGGAGGGTCGGGGCCTGCCTGGGCCACGGCACACACAGGCAGGAATCCCGCTGGAACACGCCGAGCTCACCTGGCTGACACATCCTGGTTGCTAGGCTGTGCCCACCCTTTCAAAATGGCAGCCTGTTATTCCACAGCGATCCAAAGACTCCCACTGTTTGAAGACTATTTAAAATGTTTGCAACCAAGGATAAAGAACTAATAATAGCTACCAGTGCTGAAGCACTGAACTGTGTCCGTGCCAGGTGTTGACCCACTTACTGAACAGCATGAATCCCTGGCTGTCCCTGGAGGCAAATTCCATTAGCAAACCCATTTTACAGGTGAGAAAAGAGAGGTATGGAGAGCCGGGATAACTCACTGGTGTCACACAGCTCCTAAACGACAGAGAGAGGACTCGAACTCAGAATGTTGGACCCCACAGCCATGCTTCTAATTACATTTTTCCCCCTAGCATGTTTAAACATAAGTATCATTTCCTCCTCTCCCTTCAGTGAAGTCTTGGGGTGTTAGCTCATACTGACACCCACGCAGGACCAAATGGACAAAAGGGCTAGACATTGTTCCTGTTTAGGGGAGTAGGTTTCAGACTATGGGTATCCGACTCTGGAAACTCCGAGAGACCTGCGGTTTGAGAAGGGGATCCAGTGTGTGTTTGGCTTAGCTGTTCTCTCAGCCTTGCTTTAGGTAGGAACACATGCCCCTCATGCCAACCCACCTACTTAGAACACAAATGCAAGGAGGTGGCAGACTGGAGAGCCCGGAAGTTGGGGTGACTGAGAGATCGTCAGTGTGAGACTCAAGGCTGACTCAAGAGACACTCCTCCAGCTTTGTTTCAAAACAGCCTCACTCCTCTCCTGTTCTGCTTCCAGCAGAGCTCTCCAGTGGCTGAGTTCCTTTGCTCAGAGACAAGTCGCCCAAGTTCAGAAATGGGCAGGGGTGTGTGGGAGGCGAGGGGCAGGGAAAGGACGAAGAATGGAGAACTGGCAAGGCTGTCCCTGTTTTTCTCCTTATCAGCTCCCCTGCTCTGCCTCTACTGATCTCAGGGGCTAGGGCAGCTGCTGCCAACTCATCTTGTGCCCAAACTTGCCAAGAGCCTTGTGAGTCCATTTCCTCCCACGGCTCTTAAGCCTCGGGAGGCATTTCTGCACTTGAACTGAAGCGTGTGTGAGCGCGGGGTGTGGGGCCGAGGGAAGACGAGCATCGCTGGCCCCACAGAAGCACCTCACAGCAAGGCGGGTCTGGCCACTCCTCGGTGCTTTCGGGGTCCCAGCCCATAGAGCTGTCTTCCAGGAGTGGCAGACAGAGGGCAAACCAGGTGCCTCTGTTTGAGTGGCAGCCTTCTCCTTCAAACCTGGAGCTGCATTTTTTGTCTGCCCTTTTGGCTGGGAGCCGACCAGAGTCACCTTTCCTAGCATATTAGCCAGTTAAGGTGGCTTGTACCTAAAATAGCTACAAATAGGAAAAGAGGCACAAACACATGCCTAGAAACTTACGATACCCTTAAGGTCCGTCTCATTGACCACTGATTCCCTGAACCTCACCTTTCTGTTTTGTGAGGAAAGAACAAGGGAGAGATCAATTCTTCAAGTTCTGCTCTTAAAATTACAGAAAGACTGTCATTCAGTAAAGAGAATGACTTTATTATTTATTTATTTACTTATTGCTTTTTGGGTCACACCCGGCTATGCACAGGGGTTACTCCTGGCTCTGTACTCAGGAATTACTCCTGGAGGTGCTCGGGGGACCATATGGGATGCTGGGAATCGAACCCGGGTCGGCCGCATGCAAGGCAAATGCCCTACCCGCTGTGCTATTGCTCCAGCCCCAAAGAGAATAACTTTAAAAGAAAAAAATGTTTAAAAATCTGATGGCAGGACTTCATGCTCCAATCCCATTGGACCGAACTCTGGGCTCCCACTGCTTCACATGCATCAGTGTGGCCCTGGTGTCTCCAGGGAGGGGACTCTGGGACTGCCCACTCAGCCCCCGTCCTTGCCTGCCTCTGCCACATGCACCCCACAAGCTCAGCTAATCCCAGCTTTGCTGTCCCCTAGGTGAGACCCAGATGTCCTTTAATCAGTGCCAGGTTCTACCACTTAGTCACTCAAGGCCTTAGAACCAAAATAAACATAAAACTTCATGATGTATCTACACCTGAAAGAAACACTTAGGAAAGAGACATTCAGTTTGCATTTTGTTAAGGTAAAAAAGGTAAAGGCCCTCCCGCTGATCGTCGATTTGCTCGAGCGGGCCCAGTAACGTCTCCATTGGAGACTTTGTTGTTACTGTGTCTGGCATATCGAATACTCTCGGTAGCTTGCCGGGCTCTCCGAGAGGGGCGGAGGAATCGAACTCGGGTCGGCCATGTTGGCTGCTTGTAAGGCGAACGTCCTACCGCTGTGCTATCGCTCCAGCCCTGCATTATGTTGAATAGAAAAAAAGAAGGAAAGAAAGAAAGAAAGAAAGAAAGAAAGAAAGAAAGAAAGAGAAAGAGGAAGAAAGAGTGAGAGGAAGGAAGGAAGGAAGGAAGGAAGGAAGGAAGGAAGGAAGGAAGGGTATACAGGACCCAGATTTCTACACACACACACACACACACACACACACACACACACACAGGTCTTGTGGGAGAGACTGACCTTTCGATGCCACCCTTGTGCCCAGGATCTTGGAGTGGACACCCAGGGGACTAACAAGTAAAAGTGGCTGTTTGAACCACCTGCAGGTGACATCTTCTTCCCTCTGGAGGACTGTGGCTTGTGCTGGTTTCCTCAGGGCCCCCATATCCCCTCCTAGCCCCAGGTTTGAGCAGTGTGGGGCCTGCCTGGGGGTGGAGGTGGGGGAAACCAGCCACCTGGGCTGAGAACCAGACCCTTGGGAGGCTGAGCCGGAACCAAGGCTTCCCACCTTCCTGCAGTTTGGACGCCCTCGCCCCCCCCCCCCCAACGTCCTTTTCCTCCACCACTCCCAACCCCCACCCCACCCCACCCCAGAGGTGCCCACAACCTCACACACTCGCTGAACTACCACCAGAAGAGCCAGCTGTGGTCCACTGCCTATGATCCTGGACCGCCACGGGCCCCTGCGGGCCCAGAGCCAATGTCATCTGAACTGAACCCTTCCCACGGAACCCTTCTCAGATCGGGGACCTTCCCCTCTGATAGTAACGACAGTGCCGGCACTCTGCCCAGAATAAAGTTCCCGGGCTCAGCCCTTGGGTGCTGAGAAACAGTTCGGGCACCCTGGACCCTTTGAAGCCACCCACCCAAGGTAAGACCCCGGGCTACTCTCAACCACAGCTCGAAAATGCCTGCGGCTATAGACGGGCATGTCATAAGCCCGCTGGAGGCAGCGCCAGGCTTGCTGCAGCTGCAAGGGACTCGAATGCCCTTGCTGGCCCTGCTCCTTCACAGGCAAACTGCCCGCGGGGCCTCAAAGCTGCAGCCCCAGGCAACAGCCCGTGCACATCTCAGCTCCACCTTGAACTAAGGATGAGAAGCTTTGGGCAAGATTTTATTTCTCTGGGCATAGCGTCACTGTCTTCTCTGTAAAGTGTGTAGGGGAAGGCGGGGTAGATAATGAGGATAGATGCACCCAAAGAGAAGGCAGAATTGAAGATAATGGGATTAGCCGGTCCAGCCCCCCGCCCCCACGTCCCATCCAACCGCCTCCCCGTTACTTCCTTCTCCTTGCTCTAGCCACTGAGCCGTCCAGGCATTTCGGGCGGGGGTGGGTGGGGGCACTCCACTGAACACTATTCCGTGTCGCGTCGCGGGACCTACAGGGCAGGGTGGTAGCGAACCCCGAAGAGCCCGACCGTCCAAGCGCCCCGCCCCGTGGATGGGAAACCACAGGACCCGGTTCATTTCGTGATTCCCCATCCCAAAGCCTGGCGTTACCGTCGGGTCCCGGCAGCCCTCCCGGAACGCGCGCCCCTTGCCCTGGCTCCCGCACCCCCCTACCGCCCGCAGCTCACCTGGTCGGCGCCCGGGAGCCGCTGCTGCACGACGTGGAAGAAGACGCAGAGCGGCAGCGCGGCCACGGCCGAGAAGCCCCAGATGAGCGCGAGCAGCGCGCCCCGCAGCCGCCGGCCCGGGCCCCGCACCCCGCGCTGCAGGCGCACGATGCACACCATGCGCTCCAGGCTGACGGCCGCCAGCGTGAGGATGGTGACGCTGCCGCTCAGGCTCATCACGTAGAAGAGCAGGTGGCAAGCGACGGGGCCCAGCAGCCAGGCCTCGGTCCAGCGCACGGCCAGCACGGGCGGGATCGCGCTGGCGAAGAGCAGGTCGGCGCAGAAGAGGTTGAGCACCAGGCAGGCGGTGGTGCCGCGGCGCCGTCGGCGCGCCACCAGCACCAGGGCGCACACGTTGCCCAGCACGGACACGGCGAAGATGAGCGCCAGCACCGCCGTCTCCACGGCGCTCAGCACCAGTCGGTGGTCGCCCTTGACGTCGGAGAAGAAGGGGAAGCGGGTGCGGTTGAGCCGCTCCAGGCTGTGCGGGGGCCCAGGGCCCGCCGCCCCAGCGCGTTCAAGGAGCATGCCCGGCGCCCCGGAGGCCCACTGCCCTCTGCGGAGCGCACATCAGGGAGGCGACGGAGCGCCAAGGCGGGGAAAGAGGGAGGGCAGCGGTTGCGACATTTCCCCTCTGGCCCCCTCCTGCCTCCCGTCCGCCGAGCAGCGCCGGCTCTGGGCTCTGGGCGCAGTGCGCTGAGTCCCGGGCGCGCGGGAACAAGGAAGTGCCAGGCGACAGCAGCTGGAAATACCCAGGCTGGGAGGGAGGTGGCAACCCAGGAGGAAGCCCTGGCCCCGGGCAGGTAGACCTCAACTAGAGAACCAACCCCTGCCCCACCCACCAGGGCTTGCGAGGACTGGCTAGTGTGCCTAACACTGGTACCCAGTCCGGAAAAGCCTTTAAGCCTACCCTTGCGGCTAAAGTGGATCTAGGGAGATCCATCCTGCAATTTGGAGATCATTTTTTAATCTGTGCTCTCTATATTCAGGGTTTCCCAAGGAAGCTCCCTCGGTCAGGATTCTAAAGTAGCTTGCCATGGGCACAGTTTGGGGTTGAGTGTCTGTACATTGCTAAATAACATTCAACTTGGGGTGGAATATTTTAAATCTCTGTGGCAGTTTTCTTTTCTTTAATCTGTCCTACTCATTGGTTGATTGTGGTGTTCACATAAAGACACTAACAGACTGGACACACAGTGATTATCCATGAACACTTCAGGTTGTTAGTTACTGCATTTCTAACACGTGTAAATTTTACATTCTAAGTAATGATGCAAAATGTTTTGAACCAATAAGAAAATATAAAACTCTACCTTTTGCTACCTCTAGGATGGAACTGGATGGTCTCATATGCGAAACTAGTTAGGAGAAAGACAAAGAACAGATGATCTCACACACAGGTGATGACTAAAGAAACAAAGCAAGAGAATAGACAATATCCAAAGTCTCTGAGAACAGAATTGAGGTTACCAGAGTGGCTGGAGGAATGGAGGAGAAGGGTCTTCCCTTCTGTGTAGGTTATTCTACTGTGGTAGACTGTGGTAGGAGGCTATTCTCTTGTTGGTATTGGGCATAATTTGGTAACATTGCACCCTTAAAACATAGAGACATGTACATGCTTGCAAACAAGAATTTTCAAAAGAATTCTAAATATATTATAATTTTTTAATGTTTTCAGAAAAGACATTTTCACTCTTCTGTTGATCACAGCACTATTCACAATTGCCAAGATCCGAAAACAATCTATGTGCCAAAGAGCAGATGAGTGGATAAAGTAACTTGATCCTGGAATACATGAAATTAAAAAGTTTTACGAAATCATGAATTTGCTGCAATTTAGATGAAATTAGAGGGTATTATGCTAAGCAGTCGGGGGGGGGGACAAATTATAGAATGGCATCTCTCAAACTATTCACAGTATTGTAAATCATGGTGCTAAATAAAAAACTAAGCAAAAAAGAAATTTAAAAAAATTGTAAGTGTGTGTATGTGTGTGTGTGTGTTTTAAATGGGATTCCCCTGAAAAAGTCTTGAATAGCTTCCATCTCCAGAAAGAGGGATAGTCCAAAGCTTTAAGATAGGGGTTGCCTTGAGCACCCTTCTCTGAGAATCAGTGGACAATCCAGTCCTTTTCGCTGAGGAAAGGCAGGTACAGCAAGAAGTGTCTAAAGTGACCATTGGTTAGCGATAAGAGCCCGGCCCTCTGTCCTTGCCAACATGTCTGCACAGTGCCCTGGTAGCTCTCTGGTATGCAGAGGTGGTTAGAGGAGTCAAGGGGTCATGTCCTAGACCCAGTGGCATTCCCTTATCCAGTCACCACCCACACCCTCCTTCCTCTTCCCTTTGTCACAGTTGCTCATTCTGTTCTTCAATTTCCCTTTTTGGTTTCATTTTAGTTTTTGCTTTGGGGGCTTGTGGGTCATACCCAGTGGTGCTCAGGAGTGCCCCTAGCTTGGAGCTCTTGGCAGTGCTTAGGGTTGATGTGGTACCAGGGCTGGAACCCAGCCTGCCAGGCATGTATTCAGCCCTCTGTCTAGTGATTGGGACTTTACCAAGGGCACAGACGCTGAAGTTAGGGGTCACTGTGTGCTGCTCACTGTCATGAGGGGCTGATACATTATGTGAACTCTGACCTCAGAGGTATGTCAGAGGAAGATGTTCAACTTGTACCCGGACTAGGTTCAAATTGTAAAGCAAAGTCAGTTTGCTTTCTGACACAGTTGAAACAGGGGTTGAAAGAAAGGGAACTCAGGTCGGATTTGGCAATTGTCTGATGAGGGTCAAGGAATATTTATTCTTGGGGGAGGAAAGGGAGAGCTGTGTGTTATGTGTGAGAAAAAAGAAAATAAAATGAAAGATGGTAAGGAGGAAGAGAGAGAGAGAGAGAGAGAGAGAGAGAGAGAGAGAGAGAGAGAGAGAGAGAGACTGTGGTGTGTGTGTGTGTGTGTGTGTGTGTGTGTGTGTGTGTTGGGGGGTGGATCCATTATCCGCAGCTGCTGTGCTTTTGTGCCTCGGGGCCATGAAGAGGCTCCAGTGCCCAAGAGTGCCTTTTATTATTTGGTCTCCTAACAACCCAGTGATTACCTGGAAAAACAACAAAGGTAAATTAAAAGACGAGGTTCCTGTTTTGTTCCTAAATAATCATGAGGGCTTCCTAAAGGCTGCATGCACCCAGAGAACTCTCGGAGAATCTGTTGGTAGCACTACCTTCATTTCCTCTGCCACCTTGACTTTCAAGTCATGCTTGGTCTTGATGCCACTGTTAGCTCTGAAAACCCAGTGTTGGAAAGACGAGATGCCGTGGGGTTCCTGCAGAAATAGTGACTTGCATAAAGAGCTAGTAGCTGATGCAGAACCCTCCAGCTCTTTCCTCCTGGGGAGCAGCAAGGTTCCCTTTGGTGCTCTTGGGCACTCATGAGCACCAAAGTTAAACACGTGTGCTTAGAAGGATCAGAGTCCTGGCTGTCCACTCGCCGTGCAGCCTGAGACAAGTTGCATTAGCCTTTGGTCCTTCAGCCTTCCCGCACTGCAAAAGGTCCTACGGATATCCCTAACTACAACCCTGTAGGGTTTGGCAGTGCTTAGATGGAACTCCTGTGCACAGAGCTCTCACCAGGATAGTAGTCACTGGACACACTTATGGGTCAGGCCCTGTCCTCATGCTGGAAATGCACTTAGGGAATGACAAATTCAGGCCCATTCACGGAGTCAATCTCAGGTTATCAAATTAGAACTCAAACCCCCTTTCAGGCCCACATTGCCTGTCTTTGAAGTCTTCATCACCCAGTCAGAATCCACCTCCCGTCCATCCCCCATGTCTGCTGGAATCCTTCTCAGTAGCACCACAGGGCTAGATTCTATACTGACTGAGTCCAGAGTTCCTGCTCTTAACTGGGGTAGAGTTTATCTCCTACTCCCGAAACATCTGGTAGTGTGGGAGCTTCTTTGTGTTTTGTTTGGCAGCCATGCTTGGTGGTGCTCAGGAGACCATATGCAGTGCTGGGATTCGAACCAGGGTCTTGGCTGCAGCCACATGCTAGGCCAGCACCTTAACCTTTGTGCTAACTCTATGGCCCAGAGGGTAGATATTGGTTGCCACAGCTGGAAGATTGCTATGTTTATCCCTTGGGTAGGACAGAGGCCAGGGTTGCTCCAGGGCCTGTAATCCTCAGAACAGTCTGGCCCCAAGGAACTGTCTAGTTCCTACTCCCACAGTGCTGAGACTGAGAACCAACCCCCCACTCCTCACCCCCACTGGCTCTACCTCCCCACTAAGTCTTCACCAAACAGTTCCTCTTCCTGGCCTATCCACTGTGGAGTCCCACCTCAGGGCAAACACCAGAAATGTCATTTTCCTTGCAGGAGATTCACTTTAACCTCATCTCTGGGTGAAACTCATCCTTATGCCCAGAGGATCGGGGCTGCGAACCTGTTTGGGCCACAGGACTGGATATCTGGGAGGGAAGGCAAAAGGAGACATAGGCTGAGTCCTCATCAAGTGGAATTGATTGCTCAAGAATATCGATTGCTATTGTTATCATGCTCCTTTACTTCTTCCACCCAGATAAAATGGAGACACGGATCTGCCAAGTGTAAATAAAGACAGTCTCGTCTCTGAGCTCCTGGGGAGGCCACCCTAAGGGATGAGTCCTTTTTATTTTCTATTTGTGATCAAACAGGAAGAGGGGACTCCCCTTTTGTCCCCCACTTCCCCCACAGTCTACCACCCCCATGTGATTCTCTTAATTTTCCTTTGGAAAACTTGACTAAAGTTTGCATGGAAATGTGTACTGGCACGTTGTTTCCTCTCTGACCAAGTTTGTTAGGAGTCTGTCATTGGTTCACTTGCCTTTCTACCACCTATCGCCTAGCGGCTTACTCTTTTAATCTACCTACATGACTATATGGCCTATCGATGACTCATCGATCACCCATCTACCTAATTAACTACCTCTAACCTGCCTGGCATCATCATGATCCTTGTCTATATTATCATCTCTCTTCATATGTCTGTCTATTGGATTTGAGACATGGGTCCTTGCAGAACATCTCTCCCGACAAAATCTGCCTCTATTCTGGACAGGGATGCGCAGGGCCCAGGGTAAAGAGTCTAAGTTGTCCTCCTAACTTTACGTCTCTATTCCTCACAGCTCCTCCTCTGGTTCCCCACCAGCACCCCAGGTAAAACTGTCCTGAGCTGGGAGCTTGGAGGAACCACCTCAGTCGAGCCCTGGGGTAGAGAAGACTGCTTTTTGCTCAAAGAAAGAAGGAGACCCAAGAGTTCCCCCAGCAGGCCAAGACCTGAGTGTTATCACAGCACTGGGAAAAGTATGTGTGTTCGGGCGGGATGCAGGCAGGTGTGGGCTGGCAGACTGATCCAGGGAAGGAAGGTGCTTAGTGCACTGTGGCCATAGTCTTTGCATCGTCCTTACTGCCCAGCAACCAAAAGAAAGAAACCTGAGAAGAAACAAAACAGAAAAACTAAACCTGCTTGTAAAGCACCCGCATCCTCGGGGCCTGGGGCAGAGGGCCTGGACAGGCTACAACTCACTCAGGCAGTACTTGATGGAAATTAAGA